CGACCTGAGCAGCGGAGTCTGACTGACGATACTGCCCCGGGAGATGGGTAGCTTGACACCTGCTTCCCCCACCATTGATCTAAGACTCTTTGCCGAACAACGATTGTTTTATTCAGGATTTGAGACTACAACACCAGGCCAATCAAGCTCTTCTATTTGTCTTTGAAGGCCAGGGTAGCAGGTCTCTATATATATATATATACCTTGTGCCTCCAAACACGACAAAAACGTAGGGTTCATCCCAAAACACGAGGTTCTTGGAGGAAACACGAGGTTTCCCATTTTGGTGTTTTTTTCCGCCCATGCCATCTTCGAAGGCCGGGCCACAGGAACTTGAATTCAAACTCAAAAAGCCCAGGTTGATGATCAGAACGAAAAAAATCTCAACCAAAAATGCAACTATTGTACTCCCCTAAAACCCGTGAAAAAAAAAAAACACGGGTTGTCACGGTATAGTCACGGGTTTGTCACGGGTTCGTCACGAGTTTGGGAAACATGATGTTTTTCTGAAAACCCAAGGTTTTTCATCCAAAATCACGGGTTGACACGGGATGATCACGGGTTTGACACGGGTTTGTCACGGGTTATCGGAGCTCTCAATAACGGACCCGAACTTTTCCTGACAAGAGTGTTGAATGTTTTTAACATATTGTGAATTACACCACCGTAGACCCCAAACAGTTTGTGTTTTTCAAAATCGAAACTAGAGCTTGCGACGTCCAGAGCTGGGAGACAAAGGATTGCAAGGCAGAGGCGGCCACAGCAGCCCAGAGCTGGGAGACGAACGTAAAGGATTGCAAGGCAGAGACGGTACAGAGCGGGCGGACACATCTTAAGAAAGAATTGAGAAGCCCTGACAGTAAACCTTTTGGGGAATTATTCTTCAAGTGCGAACATGATGCTGGTCATGCTGCTCAATCAGCAAGGAGCTGACCACGTGAGGACAAGAAATAGAAGCATGAGGAGCGAAGGATGTGACATGAAATTGATTTTTGGTGCCTGACGCATGCCCTCCGTCCCAACTGAACAGAGAGATCGCTGCCACGCCGCCGAAATCCAATCCGGTCATTCATCCAACGCTTGCCCGAAAAGGAAAACAAAGCTGAGAGAGTTACACAGTGTGGCAGAAATGCACTCCCGGAGACAGTCACGCGGCAGAAAACAGCAGTGCAGGCACCAAAACCTGAAAGACAAAAAGAAAGAAGTCGCATGGGAGACAAATGAATAGAAATGCTACATGGCCAGCGGAAAAGGGCGGCAGCACCAATGAATAGAAATGTTGCATCGCCAGCGGAAAAGGGCGGACACCAACAGTGACAGACCTGGGAGACTAATGCATGGCCGCAGAAAAGGGCGGACACAGCAGTGATGGTAGACACATGAATAGAAATGCTGGATTGCCTGCGGAAAAGGGCGGACACCAGCAGTGACACACCTGGGAGACAAATGAATAGAAATGCTTCATGGAGGGCGGACACCACCAGTGACAGACCTGAAAAACAAATGAATAGAAATGCTACATGGCACCAGCAGTGACGGACCTGGGAGACAAATGAATAGAAATGCTTCATGGCCAATAGACAAGGACACACCAGTGACAGACCTGGGAGACAAAAGAATAGAAATGCTACATGGCCAGCGGAAAAGAGCGGACATCACCAGTGACAGGCCTGGGAGACACATGAATAGAAATGCTGCATGACCAACGGTCAAGGGCGGACACCAGCAGTGACAGACCTGGGAGATGAATCGAAATGCTGCAGGGCCAGCGGAAAAGAGCGGACACTGGCAGTGACAGACCTGGGAGACAAATGAATAGAAATGCTACATGGCCAACGGAAAAGGGCGGACACCAGCAGTGACAGACCTGGGAGACAAATGAATAGAAACAGCAGAAAAGGGCGGACACCACCAGTGACAAGCCTGGGGGACAAATGAATAGAAATGCTGCATGGCCAGCGGAAAAGGGCGGACACCAGCAGTGACAGACCTGGGAAACAAATGAATAGAATGCTGCATTGCTTGCAGAAAAGGGCGGACACCACCAGTGACAGACCTGGGAGACAAACGAATAGAAATGTTGCATCGCCAGCGGAAAAGGGCGG